CAGAGGCGCGGTTACAGAAGCGAGAAGCATAGTTACAGGGTCCCTATTGGTTGCTTCAAAGAAGGCCAGGGTGAACTTGGGGTCATGTGTGTGTGGCTGATTTGGCCTTGTCCAGGCCAGCTGCTTATTTCTCAAGGCCAGGGGGCCAGCCATAAAATATCCTGATTTGACTTAACTGTCTTTCTCTCAAGGCCGCCGACCACAGTTATCTTTCTCAAGGCTGGCCATAGCTATCTCTGTCAAGGCCGGGTAGCTGGCTATGGCTGTGAACTCCTGTTTTTCTGATTCCTGCAGAATGGCGTTTCTAAGGCCAAGTTATAGGGGGGGGGGCGCATTTCATTGGCCCAAAGCCCCATGTCCTCATAATGGAGCGGGGGTCTTTCAGTCTCTCTGCCTCTCTCTCTCCTCATGAGCAGGTCTGGCTACTAGGGTAAAGCCTGGCCCAGGGTCCAGGCTGTCTTTGCAGCCAGGGGCTAGCAAACTCTCTTTTGCTAGTCCCAGTCCAGTGGTTCCTCCCAGCTGGGCACAGCCCATTTCCTCCCTTACGCACACACAGGTGCCGGGCTGCTATTCAGGTGAACCTGGCCTTCCAGAACATTCGGGCACTCAGCCTGCCTGCTCAGTCTAAGGACACGGCAGCCCTCGGGCAGAGCCTGCTCCTCCGGGGCCGGGTGGAACGGGTGTTTTTGTTCTGGGAAATGATAAGCTCCATTGCAGAGGGGCTTCCTGCCGTCCATAGCACCGGGCGGCTTCCGGCAACCTTCTCTCCCCTCCTCCACAATGGCCCAGCAAGGGAGAACGGGAGGAGGGAGTCGAAATCGAGAAAGGGGAAAGGAAGAATGAAAAGCGCCAAGTCAGGGGTATGAGAAGAGGGGGACGTGGTGGGGAGTGGCAGACCCGTGGGCGTGGCCTGGACGCAGCCGCCCCGCCATCGTCGTAACACAGCCCATCATCACCTGAGTGCCAAGGCAGCCACCGTGCGCGTGCTTCATCATCTCCAGATTCTCTCATCGAATCGTTACACTGACGCCAGCATGATTAGTGGCTCTCATTAGTTTTACACATAGAATATGAGGCTGGGTCATTTGTTCAGTTGTCCCAGCTGGTAGGTGACAAAACCAGCATGCTATCTGATCCCAGAGCTCCATCACTGAACGGAGCCCCCAGCCAGCAGGATGTCCAGGTAAGCCTGCACTAGGAAAGGCCTGCATTACCTACCCTTCAGTGTGGCTTTGCCCTGTGCCCCGACCCCTCAACCCTGCCAGTCTGTACCCTGCCTCTGAGGCCAAGGGGAACTCAGATCTGGTCTCTTGGGATCCTCTGTCTTTATACTGGAACAGCTCTCCTCCTGGTACAAGAGACCAGTGGATGAAGGGAGACTAAAATCAGGTCCCCACAGTCTGATCTGTCTCCTCAGCCCTGGTACAGGTGCTCAGGTATCTCCACTACTTAGCAGAGACTCATGGGGTGAATGATTATATTTGTTTATTTGGTTTTTTGAGACAAGGTTTCTCTATGTAGATCTGGCTGTCCTGGAACTCCCTCTGTGGCCCAGGCTGGCCTTGAACTCACAGAGATCTGTCTGCCTCTGCCTCCCGAGTACTGGGATTAAAGGCATGCGCCACCATGCCCAGCTGAATGATTGTTTTTTTTTTTTTTTTTTTTTTTTTTTTTTTTTTTTTTTATTAAGACAGGGCCTTTCAGTGTTGGGATGTAGTTTATCTGATAGAGTACTTGCCTAGCATGCAAGAAAGCTCTGGGTTCGAGCCTCAGCAGGGCATAAATGGGGCATAGTAATGAACACCTGTGATCTTGGCACTAAAGAGGTGGAGGGAGGGGGGGATCAGGTCAAGTTCATTCTCAGCTACGCACGAGTTCAAGGCCAGCCTGAGCTACATGAGACCTTATCTCCTTTGAAAGATATCTGAATGCATTTTATTTTTAAATGTGTGTGGATGTTTTGCCTCTGTATGTATACCTCTGTGCACTATGTGCATGCCTGGTGCCCTTGGAAGCCTGAAGAAGGCATAGCATCTCCTGGACTTAGAGTTACAGTTACGGGCTGTCATGTGGGAATCAAGTCTGAGTCCTTCCACTGTAGCAGGGTGTGTGGTTCAAGCCTTTAATCCCAGCACTCGGGAGGCAGAGGCAGGTGGATCTCTGAGTTCCAGGCCAGCCTGGGCTACAGAGCGAGTTCCAGGACAGCTGGGACTACACAGAGAAACCCTGTCTGGAAAAACAAACAAAAAACCCCTGAGTCCTCTGAGGAGCAGCAGATTTTCCTAATGGCTGAGCCATCGCTCCAGTTCCCATAGACCCTGTCTCAGAAAACAAAACAAAACAAAAGGACCCACAACCAACAGGAGACATTTCTGTGCTGACCTGGTTTCCTGGGTTCAAGTACCCTTTCTCCCTGGTAGCTGGGACTACAAGCATAAGCCACCCTGTCTTAGGTGTCAGACAAGAATGCCATGGAACCAATCATGTCAATAGATACAAAGCATATTTATCTGTTGTCCTGAAAGGATGTCCTGTATCTTATCCCATCAAAAATAAAGCAGGTTAGGGCTGGAGAGATGAGTCTGTGGTTAAGAGCCCTGTCTGCTCCTGCAGAGGACCTGGGTTCAGTTCCTAGCACCTGCACGGAGGCTCTCAACCATATGTAACTCCAGTTCCAGGGGATCTGATGCCTTCTTCTGGCTTTTGTGGACATCAGGCCTACACATACACACAAGCAAAACACTCAAACACATAAAATAGAAATAAATCTTTTTCGTTTTGTTTTTTTGAGACAGGCTTTCTCTGTGTAGTCCTGGCTGTCCTGAAAACTTGCTGTGTAGACCAGGCTGGCCTTCAACTCACAGAGATCTGCCTGTGTCTGCCTCCAGAGTGCTGGGATAAAAGGTGTGCCTCACCACTGCCAGGCCAAAAATAAATCTTTTTTTTTTAAAGATTTATTTATTTTTATTTTATGTGCATTGGTGTTTTGCCTGCAGGTATGTCTGTGTGAGGGTACCAGATTGTCTAGAAGTGGAGTTACAAGACAGTTGGGAGCTGTCTTATGGGTGCTGGGAATAGAACCGAGGTCCTCTGAAAGAGGCGTGCTCTTAACTGCTGAGCCAGCTCTCAAGCACCCCGAAAATAAATCTTTAAAAAAGAAATACAGGTCAGGGCTGACTAGTGACACGACACATCTCCTGTGGTAAGGTGTTTGCTGCACACACACGAACACCTGCTTCTTCTCCGGCAGACGCCCCGCCCTCCCGTGAGGGGCCTGGGGTGGCCTTGTACACGTGTGATCCCAGTGCTTGGACCCGGACACAGCTGCATCCCTAGGGCTTGCTGACCAGCCAGCCTAGTTTCATTGGTGAGCTCCAGGTCCCTGGGAGAGACCTCGCCTCAAAACCAGTCAAGGTGGCTGGCATTCCTGAGGATGGTAAGTGAGGCTGACCTCTCTCCTCCCTCTGGACTCGAACACACACACACACGAAGAAAAAACAACCGAGGCTCTCAGGCTGTATGTAGAACAGCAAGACACCGTTTTATTAATGAAACAAAAAGATGCTTCATGAGAACGGATTCTGCCAAGGTGTTAACAGATGATTTTCGTTGTTTTCTCTTGGCTCATCTGTGTTTCCTGTTTTTTTTCAATGAATATCAATTATTTGCATGATTTTTAAAGAGCAATAAAAATAAATCAACTCCAGAATGGTTGTACTTTTTTTTTCCTGTGCTCATCCCCAACCCAACCGTTCTCAAAAAAAAAATCTGATATGTATGTCAATCATTACAACACTGTTGAATATTACCCTCTTCTCTCTGTCACTTAGACAGCTGGGGGAAGGGAGGGGCCTGCTCTCCCAGAAGCCCCCTGCTGACTAGTGGATAGAGAGGAGGCTGTGGCCTCCCGAGGCCTTCTCCCCTCCCTCCACACTTCCTTCCCTCTCTCCTCTGCCAAGCCAAGCGTACTTAGCAGTGGAAGGTGTGCTTTCTACTTTATTGTTTGTGGTGCTGGCCTCAGAGGGCAAGGAACTCTGACCTACTCTGTGGTAGTCTTGCTGGTGCCCAGGGACACACGGTAGGGTGTGGGACCCCCTCTCCACTGCTGAAGTGGAAATTGGCATCATTATGGTAAGGTAAAGAGTGACAGAATTGTAATCGTAGGCACACCCCCCACCCCCCCACCCTCCCCCACCCCCGCCCTGTGAGATGCCTTAGGGTACAGTCATGTTGCTCCCTTCTGGAAGGTTCCAAGGAAGGGCCGGGAAAGATAGGAACTGATTCTTGTGAGCACCTAGATTCCTGAGCATCTATTGGGGTGTGGCTGGGACCTGTCTTGGTCCACTCTTGCCTCTTAGTACACCTTCCCAAGGTATAGGGGAGCAACTCAGGTAGAGAAACCATGGGTTTGAGGAGGTCAACTCCGGGGCACCTGACTGTGATCATCCTCAAGAGAGAAATTGGCTCACAGAGTCATCTCTTTCCCAGGGGTGCACTCCCTGGGGACCCCAGAAGACAGACTCCTTGGGAGCTGGATCCAACGCTGGATCTTTCTGGGGGAAGGAAAGGTGTCCTGAAATCTTGCACGTTTCATGATGAGCCATGGAGTCCATCATTCCCACCATCCATCTAAGAGGCAGCCAGGAGCTAGGAGACCTGCCTTGGCCCGGAAAAGCCAGGGTTCAAGGAAAGAAACAGGGGGTCAGTGTGTCACCCTGGCCTCACCTTTAAATCAAATCCCTCGATGTGTCGGGTCTGGCCACCCTCTGGCCACCCGGAAAGACCTTGTGTCATCCCCAAGGCTTCTTACACGCGCGGGACGTTACATATCGTGGGAGGCACACTTAGTTGGGAGGTAGGAGACCATGGCACTCTTCCAGTTCTGTGTCCAATTACCAGGTCACCTTGGCCAAGTCTCTTCTCCCCATCCCCACCCCTTCTGCCCACCCCCCAGTGTAGTGTGGAAAACAGGTTTCAAAGGGTGTGGCTGAAGAATCCCCAGCCGCCTGCCAACATTGCTGCTCTACCTGGGAGTCTGGTGGTAAATTCCAGTGACCCAGTATAACCTGGTGTGGCTGCGGGAATCCGAGCGTGATCGATAGCGACACCACGTGGACACAGTGGGTAACCGCCTCAGCTTGCACAGAAGCCTCAGGGTGACATCCAGCTTCCTTCATTAAGGGGAGAGGAGCTGATTGCGATTAATCACACTCATCATCTTACGCGGGGGAGCTGTCTCGGAGCTGACAAAGAAACTCCCAAATCATGAGACAATCTCCGAGCCAGATCTCCCTGTCGCCAGCCTTCAGCTAGACACCTGTTTTGTTTAAATTTTCAAATACCAGCCCCACAGAAGAGCCTAGAATAACGAAGGGAGAGTAATGGTAATCGCAATGTCAATAAAAATTTAACAGGCTGTTTACTCTTGCTACGAATCTCACAGGCACCACCTCATTTCACGCTCCCAACAGCCCAGGCAGCTACTTATTCACGTCCCCAATTTTCTGATGCAGAATGTGAGCCGTGGGGGGTGGGAGGTGGGGAGGGGGAATGGGGGGGGACAGTGAGGAGGAGGGAGGACAGACTAGGTTTCCAACCTGAGAAGCCAGCATCAGACTCCATTTTCTTTGTTTTGTTCAGAGCCAGAGTCCTACCACGCGACTCAGGCTGGCCTCGGACTCAAGATCTCCATCTTCACGCGTCTCCTGTGTGCTGGGATGTGCTCCCAAGCCCAGATGGACCTAGTTCCTTCCTGTCCTCTCCTTTTCCCTTCCTCCCTCCTTCCTCCTTCTCCCTCTCTCCATCCTTTTTTTCTTTAAAAATACTACTTTATGTGTACAGGTGCTCTGTCTTTGTGGAGCCTATACCTGCTTAGTGTCCTCAGAAGGAGTTGGATCCTTGGGGACTGGAGTTAGAGGTGGTTGTGAGCCACCATGGCTTTGGAGATTGAACCTGGTCTTCTGGAAGAGCAACCAGTGCTTTTAACCACTGACCCGTCTCTAGACTTCTTTTCTTTTCTTTTTTTCTTTTCCTTTCCTTTTCTCCCTCCCTTCCTCCCTTTCTTTTGACTAGGTTTCATGTAGCCCAGGTTGTCCTGAAACTCACCAACTAGCCAAAGAGAATGGCCTTTAACTTCTGATTCTCCTGCCTCCACCTCCCCAGTGCTTCTGGGATTACACACTTGTACCATCACATATGGTTCTGTTGTTGTTTGGTTTTTTGAGACAGGGTTTCTCTGTGTAGCCCTGGCTGTCCTGGAACTTACTCTGTAGACCAGGCTGGCCTCGAACTCACAGAGATCCACCTGCTTCTGTGTCCTCAGTGCTGGGATTAAAGATGTGCACCACCACCGGGCTTTATATTAAGCCAATCAGGAGGTGCGTTGGCAAAGGCGCATCTTCACAGTGTACAAAGATTATCCCACATTGGGAGAGAGGCGTTAGGGTTCGACAGGCCAGGCTGGGGTCCCTGGGGCTCTTTTACTCATCATTGCTGGCCATGTGACCTGGGCCTCATTCCTGAACCTCGCTTTCTTGAACTGCCAACTGTCTACCAGGCACTCTCGGCTTCCTTCGGGGTGCTGTGAAGACTAGAGAAGTCTCTCCCTGCTGACAGGTGCTCATGAAGTGCTGGCCTTGGTTATCTGCAATGTGCGCAATTCTCCCTTGGGAGGAGCCACCCGAGAGATTTCCGAAGGTCACAGATTCTCATCCGACCTCCTTGGAAAGCTCTACCATGACAGGAAGAAAGTTAGGGTTTGGGTAGCAGTGAGCGCTAGTCTGCTTGAGATGAGGCTTGTGAGCTTCCGAAGGGGTTGCTTGTTTCCTGGTTCTGGATGTCTCCAAGGAGTTATTTAGCCAAGTTGGCAAAACAGAAACAAGATTTCAGTATTTCGAGCCCCATCCTTCCATAAAGAAACCATTACCCAAAGAGCAGTATCCCAGCAGCCTTGAGGTGTCTGGAGAGACTCCTGTACTATGAACCATCCTCTGTGTGGTTCAGAAAGCACAACTTTAAGACCAGAAGTGGGGAGTCTGGATGCTAGCTTCAGCTTGGATTTCTTCCTGCGTCTCTGAGGTCACGTGGTCATAAGCACCTTCTGTTCATGCCTTAGTGTTTTTCTTCCCAACATCCACAAAAACCAATGCAATCTTCATGAACACATTACCTATCCTCTAAGATAGCTTCTGGCTTATGAAATCTGTACTGTTAGTTACTTTTCTAGTTGTCCTGACTAAATACCAAACAAGAAACAACTTAAGTGGGGTTAGAGAGACGGCTTAACTATTATAAGCACTACCTGCTCTCCCAGAAGACACAGGATCAGTTCTCAGCACCGATATGCTGGCTACAAATCTATAACTCCTATCCCGAGGGATCTGTTGCCCTCTTCTGGCCTCCAGAGGTACTGCACACATGTGTGGCACAGCGGAACAGGCAGACAAAATTCCCACTCACATTTTTTTTTTTTTTTTTTAGTTTTTCGAGACAGGGTTTCTCTGTGTAGCTTTGTGCCTTTCCTGGGACTCACTTGGTAGCCCAGGCTGGCCTCGAACTCACAGAGATCCGCCTGGCTCTGCCTCCCGAGTGCTGGGATTAAAGGCGTGCGCCACCACCGCCTGGCTCCACATTTTTTTTTTTTAAAGAAGAAACAACTGAGTGTGGTGGCACAGGCCTTTAATTCCAGCACTTGAGAAGCAGAGGCAGGTGGATCTCTGAGTTTGAGGCCAGCCTGATCTACAGAGCTACTTCCAGGACAGGCAGGGCTACACAGAGGAACCCTGTCTCGGAAAAAAAAAACAAAAACAACTTCAGGGCGGAAGGATTCCTTCTGGCTCTCGGTTTGAGAGGATAGTATCCTTTATGGTAGTAATAGTAAGTCACGTTGGCGGGTGGCTTCCTGGTGGTGGTAGTATGGGCCAGTTTGCTTACATCTTGCAGCTATCAATAAACAGAAAGACTGGGGCTGAGAGAATGGAGGGGTGGCTTGGTGATTAAGAGCACTGGCTGCTCTTCCAGAGGTTCAGAGTTCAATTCCCGGCAACCACATGGTGGCTCACAACCGTCTGTAACGAGATCTGGCGCCCTCTTCTGGTCTGCAGGCAGAACACTGTATACATAATAAATAAATTAAATCTTTAAAAAAAAAAAAAGCACTAGCTGCTCTTCCAGAGGACCCAGGTTCAATTCCCAGCATTTACATGATGGCTCACAACTGCCTGTAACTCCGGTACCAGAGGACCTGACACCCTCACACAGACATACATACAGGCAAAACACCAATGCACAGAAAATAAATAAAGTATCTATTAAAAACAAAACAAAACAAAACAGCCGGGCGGTGGTGGCGCACGCCTTTAATCCCAGCACTCGGGAGGCAGAGGCAGGCAGACCTCTGTGAGTTTGAGGCCAGCCTGGTCTCCAAAGTGAATTCCAGGAAAGGCGCAAAGCTACATAGAGAAACCCTGTCTCAAAAAAACAAAAAAACAAAAAACAAAAACAAACAAACAAAAAAAACAAAGACTAGCTGGATGTAGGGCTGGGTTGTAACCTTTAAGCCCCACCTCCCAGTGACCTACTACCTTCCAGGGAGGTCATACATTCTAAAGATTCCACAACTCCCCCCATCTTCCACCCTGGGTTTGAGGACCAAGTCTTTAAACTAATAAGCCTGTGGGGTACATATATCAGAAGGTGCACAGTGGTGAATGACCAGGCCACTCACTGCTGTAGCTGTGGGGACCAATGCTGAAAACCAGCCCAGAGAGAGTGAGACTGGACCCTGAGCATTCCAGATGCTGTCCAAGAGATTACAAAGGTTGGCCTGAAGACCCAAAGTCACCATCAAGATTCAGTGTCTATGTCACAGATTGGTTACATACTAACGTATCACCTCAAGACTTAATTGCAGTTAAAGTCAGGCATGCACTTGGGAAGCAGAGGCAGGCAGAGCTCTGTGAGTTCATGGCCAACCTGGTCTACACAGAGAGTTTCAGGCCAGCCAGGACTGCCTAGTGAGATCCTGTCTCAAAAATAAAACAAAACAACACAATAAACAAAAAAAACCAAACACTCGAAGGAGTGTGGGGAACCGGAGCTGTGGTGGATTGAATGAGAATGACCCATAGGTTCAAATGTGTGAATCCTCGGTCTCCAGATGGTGAGACTGTTCGAGATAGATTAGGAAGGGTGGCCTTGTTGAAAAATGTGAGTTAGTAGAGGTAGGCTTCTCGGTTTTTAAAGACTGGTGCCATTCCCAGGGAGCTCTCTTTCTCTGCCTTGTGGTTGGTTGGTTTCTGTCTCAAGATGTGAGCTTTCCAAAGGAGAACCAGACTACAACCCACAGCTCCAGAGAAACTAGCTAACCAGGAGGACCTTGAGAGGGACGCATGGATCGCCCTGGAAAGGGGAAATAGATGAGATCTCTGTGAGTAAACTGGGGGTGCGGGGGCGCAATAGAGGGTAAGGGATGGGGGATGAGAACAGAAGGGAACGGGATGGTCGAGGTGGAACAGGGACGGAGTGGGAGAGCAATGAAAGAGAAACCATGACAGAGGGAGACCTCATGGGGATAGGGAGAAACCGGGTGCTAGGGAAGTTCCCAGGAATCCACCAGGATGACCCCAGCAACTGGCCTATCCTGGTAATCAGATCGGTGAACACCCTAACGGTCATCATAGAGCCTTCATCCGGTAACTGAAGGAAGCAGATGCGGAGATCCACAGCCAAGCACCAGGCCGAGCTCCAGGAGTCCAGTCGAAGAGAGAGAAGAGGGATTCTATGAGCAAGGGGCATCAAGATAATGATGGGGAAACCTACAGAGACAACTGAACCAAGCTAGTGGGCACTCATGAACTTTAGGTCAACAGCTGTGGAGCCTCCATGGTACCAGACTAGGTCCTCTGCATAAGTGAGACAGTTGTGGCTTGATCTGCTCAAGGGATCCATCCCTGGTGCATGAGCAGGCTTTATGGAGCCCAGTACCTATGGGGGGGGACGACACCTTGCAGAGCCTTGATGCAGGGGGAGGGGCTTGGACCTGCCTCAAGCTGAATGGACTAGGCTCTGCTGACTCCCCATGGGAGGCCTTGCCTTGTCTGAGGAGGGAATGGTGGGTGGGTTAGGCGGGGTGCGGGGTGGGGGTGGGAAGGCTGGGGGGGAGGGGGATCTGTGGTTGGTACATAAAATGAATAAAAAAATCTCTTTAAAAAAAGATGTGAGCTTTCAGCCATTGCTCCTCCACTATGCCGGTCTGTCTGTCGACTGCGGGCATGCTCCTCATCATGGTGGTCACGGACTCCAACCCTACAAAACCCGTCAGCCCCAAATTAACACTCTCATTTCCAAGTTGCGTTGGTCGTGGCATTTTATCCCGGTAACAGAGGAACAAGAAAGGAAAGGTCAAAGCTGTGCTGAAAGCCCTGCTCCCAGGGGCTTTGTGGTCCCACAGCTCTCATCCTCAGAGCCGTTCAGAGCTGAGACTCCCATGGGCCTCTTCCTGGAGAAGGGCCTCACTGGGACTGGCCCAGGGGCCCTGTGAGTGTTTCCCACAGACTTCCTGCAGAGCATGGGTGAGCAGGGAGGGGGGGGCGGCGCGGGACACTGTGGTGTCTTTCCAGGGACCTCCCGGAAGAGCAATGGGGTCTCAGCAGGGCGAAGTTAGAAGGCTTCATTCAGGCGGAGTCCCGGATTACTGACCTGGATGGAAGTG